CCACAATCGAACAGCCAAGAGCCAAAAGAGGAAATGATATCGTTGTCCCTGCATGTGTGTCTTTTCAGTAGTGGCATTGCGTACTATTTTTTTTCTTTAGAAACACAGGCAGATGAACATGTAACTAAGGTGTTAAAAGGATACCTGCGAAAGCCGCGGTAACGACTTCTGAGGGGGCGCCGAATCCAAATCTATTCTTGGCGGTAACACGAACTTCGTAAATGTAGGCCTTTTCGTGTTTACTGATTAAGATGTAAGTGTTGTTGGTTTTCAGTACTGTGGCATCAATCCATGGCGAACCTTCTTCTTTATACTCCAATTGATACTGCAACACAGGCGAACCGCCATGTTCTTCAGGTGGACTCCATGAGACCCACACGTCAAAAGGAGGATGTTGTTTACGAACTAAACTGTTTGTCAGGTTAAGAGGAGCGGACGGAGAACCTAGTAAGAAATGAATCAGCTTCAGTTAAGCTTTCAAACGACTCTTCGTGAACATCATTTGGCCGGCTGTGTGAAAGCTTGAGAAACTTGGAGCCTGGTGCTGTACCCTAACCATGCTAACGACTCAAAACGACACCTTTTTTTCAGTCAATCGAGTTCTTAGCAGAATCGATCGAGAATTCGGCTATAAACTTTCTATAACGTTATATTTATCACTTGTAGTCTTCATGTTTTCCCGCGCTTGCAACTCGGTTTCATGTTTTTCCACGTGTGCTCCACAGGGGTCAAATGCTCTGGTTTCCACCAAAACCGCCACTTATAAATGTTAAAAACTTTTGAAATCCTGCACTTTCCAGCCAATAGTTTTAACAGTCATGGAAAACCTAAGCTATCCACACCAAATATACATAAGAATTTCATACTTAACCATTTGGGTTATCAGCTCCTAATTTGGTTAAACTGCTCTTTAGTAACCACAACAAAAAAACAGTAGAATGTGTGTCTTACTGATGTTAAGAAAAAGAAACTAAAATACTGTCAAGGCATTCCTTACTTGTGACGATCGCGCCACACTATAACGAAATGCTNTCAGCTTCAGTTAAGCTTTCAAACGACTGTTGGTAAACATCATTTGGCCGGCTGTGTGAAAGCTTGAGAAACTTGGAGCCTGGTGCTGTACCCTAACCATGCTAACGACTCAAAACGACAACCTTTTTTCAGTCAATCGAGCTCTTAACAGAATCAATTGAGAATTCGGCTATAAACTCTCTATACCGTTATATTTATCACTTGTAATCTTTAAATGGGTTTTGCACCTTTTATTAGTCGCCATTTTCCTTGCGCTTAGCGCCGTTTGCATGTTTTCCCACCCTTGCAACTGGATTTCGTGTTTTCCCGCGCTTGCAACTGGATTTCATGTTTTCGCGCGCTTGCAACTGGGTTTCGTGTTTTCCCGCACTTGTAACTGGGTTTCATTTAATGTTTTCCCGCGGTTGCAACTCGGTTTCATGTTTTTCCACGCGTGCTCCACAGGGGTTAAATGCTCTGGTTTCCACCAAAACTGCCACTTATAAATGTTAAAAACTTTTGAAATCCTGTACTTTCCAGCCAATAGTTTTAACAGTCGTGGAAAACCTAAGCTATCCACACCAAATATACATATGAACTTCATACTTAACCATTTGGGTTATCAGCTCCTAATTTGGTTAAACTGCTCTTTAGTAACCACAACAAAAAAACAGTAGAATGTGTGTCTTACTGATGTTAAGAAAAAGAAACTAAAATACTGTCAAGGCATTCCTTACTTGTGACGATCGCGCCACACTATAACGAAATGCTGTCACAATATGAGAAAATTTTCTTTTTCAAGAAAAAAAAAAACAACAACAACAACAACAAACAAACAAACTCACTGAAAAATGATACTGGAACTACACGAGATCGAAAACCGCGACCGACTTTGTTGATCGCTCTGACGTCAACATGCACCTCGCGAGGATAACCGCTGACTTGGAGCTTGCAAATCACGTGCTCTCTGTAGTCGTTGACCGTCTCACTGATCAAGATCCTGTTGAAGACTGGATGTTTATATTCCACTATGTAGCTTGTTATCGGTGTGTCACCATCATCCACCGGGGGCTCCCATATGAGTTTGTTGTGCACGTGACAATCGGTATTATTGCTGCGAATCTCCTGTACAGTGACGTTCACGGGTTCCGTAGGCTTGTCTGGCAAGATAAATGTTAGAGAAAGATGAAACGTTCAATAGGGAGCATAAGAATAAACCAAAAACACGTTACACGAAAACAACTGACATCCCCTACCCTCTCATGAAAACATTCTTACACGAGCCGTACAGTAGCTCTGTACGCGTGTTATACATCACGGTACATTATTTAGCTACGGTCTTCTGCAAAACCTCAACGTTTAATGGACAACGATGGCGATTTTTCCATGGTCAGTTCTTGATTAGTTACTGAATAGATTCAGGAAGTAGCTAACTTCGCGAGTAAAATTTACGCTCACTTTTTTTATTGGTATTATCGTCAACACTGTGGCAGCTTAAGGTTCTCAAGCTGCTCATGAAACAAAGAATGAGATTAGGAACTAATCAAAAATCCGTAGTCGCCTTCAAATATACCCGGGGTGCTTTCCATTTGCATGAAAACTCGTTCCTTTGAAACTCAAATGGAACGTTCCATTCCACTGGAAATTTTTCGAGAAAAATGGAACGCCTTCAGAGGTTTTGCTCTTTTCTCCTTTTTTCCAGAATGATGGGGAAATCACTATTAATACCAAATGCTTTTCCACACTATTACAATGCTTATTGATGAAATACGCGGCCATTGCATTGAGAAATTAAATAGAACAGTCCTTTCCACTGCAAAGTACGTTTTCAAATGATGTGAAATGGTTCGCGTTCATCCCGTCTCATCGCCTCCTCCAGGTGTTCAGATAGTTGGATAGCCTGCGAACGCAGACGTATTTCCGGCTGTCGCTTGTCTCCGCCGAAATTACATCTGCATTCGCAGGCTATTAATTGGGGCGCAGCGCGAAAAATGGGGCACGAAAAAACAGGGAAGAAGCGGGACGCGGGAGGGCGTTTGCTCCTGGCATTAAGCTTCTTTCTCCTT